GAAAATATACAAAAAATAAATATGGATTATAAAAAAATATTTTGATATATGAGTAGTAAGATCATACCTGTGCAAGATCTCCTTTATATTTTCCATTTTTTACACGGGTCCATATGCCCTTAGATATTGCATTGGACTTGCTCCTGATGGAGAGCAAATCATTTTGTTCCTCTTTTGGAATGGACTAAACTAAGTATAATTTAGAAGCCTTTGGAAATGAAATAAGCTACTGAAGGGAACATGATGACCTAAAATTCTTACAGTATCACAAACTGGAATTGTCTACATGGTATAGTGATAAGAGAATTGCAAACCAAAATCTGGCCTATCAGGAGCAATTTCACTTTCCATGTCTTGTATAGGGAAACAAAATTTCAGTTCAAACATTACCTACAGCATGAAGATGAATAAAAGTCGGCACATGGAATTTATGTACTTAGAATCAATTAGCTCTATTTCGAAATGACCACCATCAGAGAATGGGGTAACTATAACAATTTCACTATTTAGGTCCTGTACAAAGTCACACACGTGTGTGCAGATTAGTTGACCCAAAATAGCTTAAATAATTAGCAGAAAGTCTCACCGACATACTCATTACCCCATGAACCAATGTTGCCTTCAGAATGAGCAACCTATATTTCAAGCTTGCCTGCAATATTAATAATTGTATAAATGATCATAAAATATATCATATACCAAGAGTTTTCAAGATAAACATAAAATTAAATCTCAAGTAAATAAAATACATAATTAGTAGGAAATGCAGGTCCATCATATATGTGAGACTTTACATTTTAGGTAAGTTGGCCTAAAAAACTTACCAAACTCGAATTGATTTTATCATTAAAAAATTAAAAATTAATATAAAAAATAGGCATTCATCTGATTTCAGAAAGAAGTCTTGACGGGCTGTGTAATGACTTTAAGAATGATGTGAAGTGTCATTTTCATTAATGCGCACACAAAGAACTTAAAGAAAAAGTTTTTACCATCCAAATGCTTGCAGACTCCTTTTATGGGACACATTTGTTTTATGTGTCTAGTGTGCTTGAGAGGGAATGTGAAAGGAATGTTTTAAATTTTAATTAACTAAAAACAATCTCCATATGTATATACTGATAAAATCCTTCCTTCATCAGGATTTGAAAAAAAAAAGAGCAGTGAGGTCAAGGATATAGTATAACCAATGATTCGGCCTACAATAAAATCTCATTTCTAATAAGATGGCTTAAAGTGTAAAGGGAATATTTTATATACGTGTCGAACTCTAACAGATAGAGCAATATATGATTAAGAGGAATGCAACAAAAATGATAGAGCAATATATGATTAACAGGAATGTGACAAAAATGTTTCATAAGGAAATCATAATGTGCAGAAATCTGCTTACTGAGGAGATGACATTGGGAGCTATGAACAAATAGGGACCCTTGCAATTAGCTTCTTCAGCACCAAGAACAATCAGAGCTTGTCTGTGCTTAACATTTCAATGGGTTATCGTTTACTAATTATTCACCACAGATATTATTTGGTAAAAAGATTAATTTTCACGTGTTGGAGAGAAAATTAATGTTATGTTAACGGTACAAAATGTTATGATCCAAGAAACTACAACTGGTNNNNTATGATCCAAGAAACTACAACTGGTAAAAAAATGCATTCAATTCAATTGCAAATGTAAATCTGACCGCTAATGTTTCAAATTAATCTGCAAATATGCTGTCAATTATTGGAAATCAACAATGAACACTAAAAAAACATTTATTATTTACCAATGAAAATTCATGTAATTCTACATTACCAAAATAAGGAAACATCCGTTCATTCCAATACTACAGTAGCACCAACTTCCTTAAGTTTTTCCACTATCTTCTTAGCCTTGTAATCCAAATCAAGTTTAAATCATACAAATAATGACTTTGAAATTTATCTCTTCTCTGCTCTAACTATAGGTACACTTCTGAAAACCCATCGTACAAGCCTATTTTTTTGCAAGAGAGAGAAAACTGAAGTTACACAATTGACATGTCGAAAATTAAACTCTTATGTCAAAGACATGTGGTTTTATTTGGCTATAACTGATTTTCTCTTTCTACCACAACATATTTTCCAACTTTGTAATTAGCTGAATATCACGTAGTTTTATATACACTCACTTCAATATTATCTCTTGCTGAGTCTAGATTTTCC